AGAGGCGGTGGAGAAAATAAAAGAGGTCAGAGAGGATGATGGAGAGAAGAAATTGGAGGCTGAAATCCAAGAATCTTTTCCATCTGAAGTAGTTGTTGAAAAGGATACAACAAAAGTTGACAATACCTATGAATTGCATACTTCACCTTTAAAGTTGCTTGGAGAGCTTACAGGAGATCCAGGTATTGGCTTTTATCAACTACGCTTCAGGGAAACTCATGCAAGATTGCTGAATCATGTTTGTTTCAGAAAAGGTGAGATTTCCCATCCTCATTATCAGTCAAGGATCAACGAGAATGATTTTGTTCGATCCATTCGCAATATCTGTCCAGTACCTCCACCTGATTGTTATGAACATGAACCAGAGCATGATTTGAAGAGATTCTTCATCAATGATGACCGCATCATTTATTTGGATGGCAGGTATCAGGTCGATCCAAAGGCCCTTGAAAGGGCAGGTCATGCTCGAGAAGAATTGGAGGATACGAAAAAGGAACTCAAGAAGGAACTGGAATCATATGGTCCCAAGGGACCCAGTTGGGACTTTGTCACCTTCTATGAAGAGCTGTGCAGAAGGTTCCTCAAGGGAAGAATAGAAGAACCATATGGAACTAATTTATTGGCCAGCTCAGAGTCCTTGACATTTTTATCCTGGAACTATGGCAACATGGTTCGTGGTCAGAAGTACACCACACCAAGGTTTCTCCAAGGACTTGATGGTGCAATGAAGCCACGCAGGCAGAGTGCCATGTCACTTCAATATGAGCAATTTGAAAACAACCTTTTCTTCAACATGCTCTTCTTTTTACGTGCACATGTCGTGATTCTCCAGGAAGCTCATCTTCTTGTTCCTGCCAAGGAATTTATTGAGCAAAAGAATTGGACAGTTTGCTTCAATGATTGGGAGAATCTTGCAGTGATGGCTAGATTGGCACCAGGTGGATATGTCAAGATCATTGCTGGACATGATCAAGAACTTGGTCACTGTGAACAGCGTGATGTAACTTGGGCTATCTACGAGATTTGTTTTGGAGAAACAAGGCCTCGTCAAGATTTCAAGGATGCAGACTTTGAATTTGATGACTATGGTCCTGAGGACAAGCGTGTTCCACTTACTCGAGCGAACATGCATACCATCAGAGTCTGTAATTACCATGTTGATACACACCGTGCTGTGGATGCCCACCTACTGACAGGAGAACAGACAGCATTGATGCTTTACGAGTGTTTTGTCTATGAGGTGGACATCATTTCTGGTGATGCAAATAGTTTGGCCTACAGAATGTCTGGGTACAAAAGGCAGCCAATGGCTAACTACTATTACAGCACCATGCAGCATTGGATCCGCAAGTTTTCAGAAGCTCGTGTAAAAGCAGATCTTGGTATCAAAGCACCTATTCCCAGAACATTTTACAGTTCAACTTCACAGGTCCTCAAGAAGTGTGAAGATTACTTTGACAAACTCTGGGAAGAATATTCTACTGTTGAAAAAGAAGAATACCAAGGATCACAGCTTGGCGATACATGTTTGTCTACCATTGTTGAATGGGGTCATTCAATGAGTGAAGAGGAATATGAAAATTCCACAGTGAGCACGAAGGAGTTCATCTGTAATTTTTCAGAGAACTTTGCTATGATTGATACAGAGGTTATGTGCTCAAGGCCCACTGACGAGGACAGTCATGGTCCAATGTTTATTTCACTCAGACCAGCTTCCCTTTCATCTGGAGACAGAAGACAGTATCGCATGGGAGCAACGCTTCATGAGGCGAACGTGCGGAGGAAGGAGAGAGAGAAGCAGAATAGAAAGAAAGGAAGGCCGCCAACTTCTGATCAAGCAGCTTCAACGTCTGCAGCGGCATAATTCCTGAGCGAAGGCTGAAATTTAAATGATGGCTAGGAAGTGAAGATACTTCTGGTTACAGTTGATACTTTGCTTCCAGGCTTGACTTTAAGTTACCAGGCTGAAGTTTTAATGAACTCTGGTTTGCAACCAGGAGAAACTTTTTATCAAAGAAGATACTCCTGCATTCCAGGTTTATATGCTTTAGCATTTGGATAGGTATGGACAGTTTTACATAACTGATGATATCTATCATCATCGCTCTTAAGAAGTGACCTCTAATGGACAACCAGTCATGGTTGATGATTAAGTCATTTCATGATTTGCAATTGTAGTGCAAGATTTTTTTGTACATACATTTGCCGGTATCTCCTTCTTGTGTTTTTGATGTGAATGTGAGAAAGAGTCCTTTTGATGCAGTTTATTTTGTCTGTGAATGAAAGCGGTCGAGACCACGTCACGAGAAGATTATTCCTCGGACCGTACGCTCCTTGCATTTTGCAAGGCATCTTAATTCATTGCAATTTGTGCGGTCTTGAATTTTTAGTTCTTTGTTACGCGAGTGTCGTTTGATTCTTTTATAGGTCTCTGTAGAGAAAAAGCCGCTTTCCCTTTTAGTTTGATTTAGCTCAGGCCATAAAGAGCTAGTGAGCGCCGGTACATGGTATCTTCGCCTGCGAAAAGTACAGTCTCCAGCCGAGGTACATTATCGATTTGATTTTGTACTTGAGGTGAGTCAGCTATTGCTCCCTCACTGTATTTAGTAGCTATGAGATTACCTTCTCCAAAGTGTGAAACACACTGGATTAGGTAAGTATATGGCACCGTAGTTTTCTTTTAAGTTGTCAGAGCTAGCTGGACTGTTTTAGCCTTGCAGTAGAAAAAGAGTATGCGACATACGCAATCAGCTAGAAGTGGACATGAATCTTGTGCCTGCTGAAAAGTAGAGCCTACCTGTACAGGGTTCCACTCCAACAGCTGATATAGTGTGTCCATGCTTGACTGCTTCAAGGCTCAAGAGAGGGTCAATGGACCTAAAGAGCAAGAGGATAAGACTCTGCGCATAAAAGACACTAGCGGTCTGCACCTCTACCGTGTACGCCCTAGTCACTCTTTCACCCCCTCCCCCGCCCCCTTGGAATTGATTTTTCAATACAGAACCCCCCCCTCTAAATTCAATTCTCTCCTGGAGAACGTCTTCGTGAGCCTCTCATGATTTCAGGATAGTTGAAACCCTCATTGAACATTTAGAAAGAGTGCATATGAAATTCTAATCACGAAAGGTGTTCCCCGAGGGGATACATACCTAGAGTTTGTTTTGTGAAGCACGTCAATTCTCTCCTGGGGAGCGTCTTCGTGAGCCTCTTATGGTTTCAGGATAGTTCAAATCCTATGATGCTCCGATTCAATGCTCACCGATGATCTGATCCATGGGGCAAGTTTGTTTTCCTAAGAATCTTTTTGAACATTTCCAGAGCATATGTTTGAACAATTAGAGTGCATATGAACATATATTTACGATTTACGAAAGTTCGCCTCCGAGGGGATAAATCACCATGTCGAACATAGCATTTTTGTTCCTGCCTCTCGCGTTCTCTTCTCTTCCCGCTGTCCTACCTTTCGTGTCTCCCTCTTCTCAAGTTTTAAACACGCTGACTCATGGGCCGAACCGTTTGCAGAAAATGCTCCTGTAGAAGCACGGAGGTTCATAAGACCTCCTTCAGATGTGCTCGCGCATGTTTGAAGGTTCTGAAGCGCTTGGACCAGCTCATGAGCATTGGTTCGGAGGTTCCTCGGCCACTTTAATGAGAGGCACAGGTCGTGAGAGAGTATATAAGAGGACATTTCCGTTTAGGACCAGTTTCTTGCTCTTTTTCCGCACTGCACCTTTTCGCAGAAGAAGGAGCACCGTCGCCGCAGTTGGCCTTTTTTCTCCCTTGCGGTTGGCAATTTTCCATCATTTTCATCTCCTTATCACATAGGGGCGGCGTGCAGTATGTACACTCACGGGCATGCTCCTGGAGTTTGCATTTGTCACCTGCGTCGTGTGAGCTGAGGTGACAGATGAAATCCTTTGCTGGACGGGCAGCGCCGAGCAGAAACTGGATCTTCAGCTTGCGCCTGGACGTTCGAATCCGTGCAGCTTAGCGTGAACTTCTCAGGGGCCACGATCGTCCACTAGAGCCACACCTTGTGTAATGCAGCACCTGCCCATTCGCCGCAGCTCGACCAACCTGCAGTTCAAGGGGATTTGGCTCCAAATAAAGAAAGCAAAAGACTCCCATATACAGTAGAGTAGAGTGTAGATATACGCCGGTTTTGGAGCTCAGGTGTCGAGGGTCATGAAGTTGCCACTCCGATCGGTGCTAGAAACTAGGCGTCCACAAGGCTTAGTCAAGCACATTAGAAGAAACGTGGCATGGGCCCAGCCCTTTCGGGAAACATGACTCAGCAATTATATACTTGGGCCATTGGGCTCAGTGAGGTCTACCTGCGCCGTGTTCACCACTTCTGCTTCTATTCCGCCCAGTGGTTCAAGGAGCTGCTCTTCCTTCATTGAATAGATATTGAAAATGACCTTAAGGAACCTAGGAGGATTCCTTTTTGGCTATATCATGTTGCATAATGCTGTATCCACCTGAGGCCACATCCAGCAGGAAGATTGACCTCTAGAGTGCGCACTTTGTTCTAGGGTTGTCAGTGGACGGATGGATGGTCCTGCATCAAAGTTTCAAGATCATGCGATTCTGTTTTTCAATTTCTTGTCCTCGAACCTGGCACTTCAAGGGTTATCTCTCCACCCTACGCTTGCACGAAGCAGACACTTCAACAAATTGCCTGGTGCAGCACAGTCCAAGCCCCCTTTCACAGGTGTCTGGCGAATTTGTTCGTTTACTGTGTTTCATTGCTGCAAGGTTCCTTTCGGCAATTGATCCTTTTTCTCCAGCCAACAAGACCTAGAGGACATCGGAAGCACTATATATATATATACTTTCACTAAACCAAGGGTTCCACGAGACCTCGGCAGCACTTTTAGACCAAGTCTCCGTTCATGTGTTCTTCAGCGACGCCGCACAAAAGACCTCAAACGACAGTTCACGACCCACGTTTGCTTGGAGCATCCCGTGTGTTGGGCTAAGAATGGCTCTTGCTTCAGGATGAGTGGGAGCTCCGCGAGCGTTGCGGGACCGCCACCCTCCGTGAGACTTCGACTGTGCATCCGAGTGGTGGGGAGAGGACGAGGCGGCATGAGGCCAACATCAAGGAGCGGCGCTTTACAGCTTGGCGGCGAGGTCTTCCCACCCAAGACGGTTTGATCCGCATCGTTGGCATTACGGGGAATCTTAAGAAGGGTATGAAGGAGAATGGGTTTGGTGGTGGGGAAGAAGAGATCATTAAAGAAACACATGAACAAGGTGTTTTCTCTTTAATTGGTGGCGGTGGTGGTGACAATCCCAGAGGTTCGTCCCCGAGCACCGGACCGACGGTGGCAAGCCAGGACTTTTTGGCGAAGAATGTGCAGCTTGGACGGACCAGGGAGGTGGGAGGTCAACGACGTGAGCTATATTCACTAAGCAGAAACATTTTGGCCCCTGTTCACTTCACATTGTATTCACAATATAGTGTCCAAAGCTTTCAGGGAGAAGAAAGCAGATAGTGGGTTCAGTGCAGCCAAGTGACAAGTTGAAACCTGAGCCCGGTGATGAAGGCGGCTCAGACAATACTTCCTCCATTTGGTGCTCTCCAGATTCGTCAATTGGGTTTGTGGCAAGATTGTGTCACTGAGTCGTTTGAGGGACTGTGACGTAGACCTTTGACCACCCAAAGCCGTCGTGATTCAACTGTGCTGAGTGTGGGTTGGGGCAAAGTCAATTTCTTCCAACTTCCAACAACGCTCAGGACTCTTCTTCCTTTCAGTGCTTACATAAGCCTTATGAGGCAGAGATGCTCCCCCACCACTTTGCCAGTCGAGCACGGGGGAGATGAAATTGGACGAGCAAGAAGAAAAGAACCAAGGAGTGCCTGAACTTGAGCTCCTCGCTCCTCTAAGTTAAAGGCGCACAACTTGGACCCATGGAACTGTGAAAAGACCTGCAGCACAGTCCTGGAAACCGCTCAGGTCGTTGCAGAGGCCGCAAGTGATTTTGCCCGAGGATCAGGATTTTGTGAAGCACTTGGCGCAGGCTGTTGAGTTTTTGTCTTACTGCCTGCTGATTGGAAGAGTTTCCCGCAGCTGCAAGTATGCCGTATGATTGGTCCCTTGCCTTCGTTGGAGGCGGCGGAGCACGCGATGCTGACGATGGAGCAGAAGGTGCAATGCAGGCGGCCGGGTTCCATCGGGTTCCGGGGTGATTTTTTGGACGGCGGGGTGCCGGATGGACCTGTGAGAACGGCAGAGACTGCTGGAGTTTCAGTGAGTTCGTCCCCTTGTGATTTGATTCTTGGTGAACTGCGGATCAGAAGCCAGGTCCGAGGACGCAGAGTAGGATGTTGGAGACATCCATGTGCTCTCCATGAAGTGCAGTTAGTAGTAGGTGTTTCCGGCCAAAAGCACAGAGAGGATCTACTAACGAAGAGTTGGTCCAAGGTAGGACCATCCGAGCGTCCAAGGCTGTGTAGCAAGTACTTCAAATCCCCGGATCACGTCCGGAAGCATCTCAATCGCTGGGCCCTTGGTGTTCCATGTCAGTGCGGATCGCGAAAAACATGGGAACGCGTTGGGTTTGGTCCAACATGATATTAGTTTTTGTTCTCTTGCATGATTCCTAGCCAACTCGGGATGCTTCAAGATCTTCAAGCAGCTAACCAGCTGCCAGGCTCCCATGTTGTTTGCCCGAGTGTGTTCCCGCGACACCACGGTGATCTTCGCTCGCGCCCACGGTCTTTCGCTGGGCACAATGAGGTAGCCACCTGGACTGGGTCGAGGCGGCGTTTTCGGCTGTCGGGCCAACCAGTCGACCGGTGAGTCGTCACGGTGGACTCGAGTGACTGGACCCGGTTGGTAGCCAAAGCAGCGGCTGGTACTGGCAAGTCGTGAGGGAAGAGGACTGATCCACAAAGGTTCCGAACAGCAATGTTGATCTACAAACACAGGAGTTTAGTGTCAAGCCTTGTGAATGTTGCAACATGTTGTTAGATGGAGATTGATGTGGATACGCCGGGACATCAGCTGTTTGCCAGGCCCATCGGAAGGAGCTACACCAGGTGATGGCCGAGAAGGCCTGGTGGAAGGAGCAAGGCGACACTTGGCATTTTCAATGATCTTCCACAGGTGGAGTGAAGGGAGGGTAAGGATCTCACAGATGGAATTCTGGGTGGTTAAGAGAACAAGGGGAGCAGCCCGTGACATCTAGTTTGAGGCACTCGCCATGGTGGTGCAAGTGGAACGCAGTTCATACTGGTGCTAGTTATCATCGAAGCAAATTATGGTGTGCTGGGCGAGGGCCCCCAACAAACAAGCCCCAAGGTGAGAGAGAGAGGGGGGCATGCATACATATCAGATAAATAGACAAATAGATAGATAGATAGATAGATAGATAGATAAATAGTGATAAGAGATAGGGATAAGGGATAACTGGTTCAGGAGCCGTTTGACAGGAGGCTTTGGAGGCTTTGGCGCGGTCCGTTATTCATGGGTGAACTGTGAAAGTGGTCGGATGACAAAGAGCATGAGTCACGAGCTGTGCAGGATGATTTCCTTTAGCGCAACAATCCTGGGTCAAGCTTCAAATCAATCACCAGCTTGGCATCAAAAGCAAATGCAGTAATGCATGATGTGCAGGTTGAAAGCACACACATTCCAGCGCCATATAGTTCTGACAGCGCTGTGACTGCTCCAAGGATGTCTCACTCTAGAAGAGTTGGACTCGGACAACGAGATTCCCTGAGAATGCAGTGAATTCATCAAGCCTTCCACCTGCATCCTGACCGGAAGAACATGGTGTGGGTCAAAACCTGGACCCCAAATCATTGCCAAAGGTAGGCTGAACTTCGGTTGAACTGCCTGGTGCTTTAGTTTGTTGATTTCACGGGTCCAGCATCCCAGGCTTTTGACTCGCAGCCCAATTGCCTACTATTGTATCTGGGAGAATCCTAGATGCTGAAAGCTCGACAATTTTTCCCTTCTCGTATGCACGATCATGACAGCGAACACTGTGATGGAACAGTGAATACCCCCAAATGAAGTATATATTGAGAGACTCGTTTCTACCTTTTTGGCGGTAACCCTGAGGTTAATGTGCTGAACATATCCTCGTATCGTTGGAAGCGTGGTGCATGGGGCCAATGATACGGCAGACCGAGCCAATGGGAGAGAACGAGGAAAAGCGACATGACGAACAAAAACGCCACCGCATTGGCTCAACCTCCCAGCAAACTAACCATGTTTTATGAAAATGATTCACCACATCATGGCGGGTGGGGGAAGTCGCACATCTCCAGCATCACATGGGAAACACGGTTCCAAACGAACCCTGACGGCCAAAGTCGACACGAATCGAGTCCAAGAAAGCAGTCAGGTTCCAAGACACGCTCCAAACAGGGTTGCATCAGGATCGGTGCCTCTTTCCCTGGTTTTTGACCTACCCGCCTGGCTTGACCACCTTCACAAGAATGGTTCTTCGTGTCTCCCCTGCGAACTCTGCCAGCCATTGCAGATGCACCGCCCTGGGATTTCGTCCCGGCAGGGTGGGCCTTGAAGCCAGTGCCAAGTGAGGGTTCTTTTGGGCTCCCCAGGTAAATTTCCGGTATACAGCATACATATATATATATATTTACATACACATATTTAGATTATGGAATTGCTCATTGCTCGAAGCCAAGGGGTACGGCTCCCCACCCTGCATGGCTCACAGTTTCTGCGCACGCCGTGAGCGGAGCGCTTTGATTTAAGGCTCAACAGAACATGCGATCCTAATCGGCCTCGCTCGCGCAGGTTCGGCTGGGAACCTTTTTCTGAGACTCTGAGACCTGTCTTCCGCCAGCGGGTGGTTCCTCTGCTGATTTGAAGGCATCACAAATGACCAAGGGGAAACCCGGAAGAGTGATTCTTTCATGTTCCTTTCCTTTTGCGAGTTGAGTGAATGCTGGTTGCCAAGTGCAGGACGTCTTGGTGTGGGTTTGTTTAAAACTGGGGAGACCGCAGCCTATGGGCTTTGTTCAATTTGTCCTCATGAACCAGCGGTGTCCAGCTTCGTCTTGCTTGAGGAGTCTCCATAGGCTTTCAGGAGCCGCCGGGTCAACCCAGGCATATAACTCTAAGTCAGGGGTTGTTTGGGCCCACCCCTCGGTACTGTCCATTGCTGTGTGTTTCCGTGACCGTGACACGTCCATTGAGTCGATTGATTTGGTCACAGGATTTCATAGCCTGGTGACATTGCGCTTGTGCAAATGAACCACTTGTACGAAGGATCGCATGCTCTCAACGAGTGGGCTTCCATGGTCGCGTGCCATGTCGATGTCCTGGAGCCCCAAAAAAAGGATCCGCTCGGGCGAGCTTCGGCGGGGCGACCCGAGCTTCGCCCCACTCCCTGGTGACTCAGGTCCGGTCGTCGATGCGGTCCGAGTTGTCGCTGAGGTCCTTCTACAGCGCTGTATCCACCTGTTCAGATGAGGCAACGGAAAAAAGAACGCGGAACACCAACGAGGACCGAAGGACCGATCGCCTCAAGGATCGATGCGGTCGGGTTCCGAGTCCAAAACACGAAAGCCCAAGTGCAGATGATGGACACCCCTTGACGGACTCACCAATCGGAATCGGCACTTTGACTCCTCGAAGGAGCCAGCCTTACCGCTTGACACAAATGAGTGTTTTTTTTTTAAAAGAATTTGTTCAACATGGATATTACATCAGAGAAAGACAAAATTGCCTGGTTATGGTGGAATGATGATGGCCATGGATATGACGACCATGTAGTACAATGTTGGGACCAGCACTTCCATGTGCTGTACAAATACAGATAGAGAGACAGCATTGCGCTGGGGCTACACGGACTATCCTGCCAAAATGAGGGGACATGAAAACTTCTTGACCACCTTTGGTGCCTTTGTGTGATGCTCCACTCTTGAGCACCTTTGAAAGGCTTCGGCGCCTGAGCACGTCTTCTTCCCAGGACGTGCCTCGAGAGAACACAGAGCAGTAATTAGGAGGTTATTTGTTTTACTTACGGGTTGCTGTATATGGACCACCTGCACATAAGGTGCGAGTAACGGAGTAGCCTCGCAGGTATGAGTATCGAGTGATCAGGCTGGCTTCTTGATTTCAACGTTTGGAGGGAGATTGCTATGCTTTGAATGTCTGCAGTTTGTTTGCTTTTTGTTGAGAACGTGCAGAGGTACTTCTCTGGTTGTGTCGGCCTGCTAGAGGAGCTTGTGATTGGGTAGGATGATCAGGATGAGCCGTTTTGTCTAACGTAGTTTGGCCTCAATCGTTCACCCTGAATGAGATCATGGACATGCTTTGGAGGTAAACTGTGGCTTTGTGTTGCAGCTCACCATGTGCACAATAGAATGTCCCAGACTATGGGAGACTTCCAGTTCTTCTCGCCCAGGAGAGTGGGTGAGAAGCTCTGCATGCCCGCATGCGACGGGCCATGTTATATATGTTATAGCGGGCGGTCAGGGGATTTTGGGAGTCCACAGCCGAGCGGTTAGAGTTATATATATATATATACAGACACACACAGATATACATATCTATATCTATATATATATACACATGTGTATCATTTCATTATACATTCATGAAGTACACGCAAAGCAATAACATATTGTTTCCATGTTTCTTAATGCACTACAACATGGCATAATATGTTTCTTATTGTGTATGATGCGATATGTTGTTATATGATGTGATGTAGTACATCATATACACATCTATTTTGTGATATCAACCATGTCGACAAACCCCTCGGGCTGAGCCCTCAAAGCTCCTCAACGCCCCGTGCTGTTTTTGGGCAACGAGCTTGGCTGAAGAGGGATCTGCGCTGTAAACCAGCTGCAATCTTTGACACCCGTGGTCGAAGGGAGGGGCGCTTCTGGAAAAAACTGAATGACCTGGCTCCATCGATCGAGACAAGACACGGAGGTGGTGTCAGTATGTGTCAGTGTCTATCAGTGTTCGCCAACCACCTCGAGAGCATTCGCTCGCTCGCTTGCCTCCGCGGCGCTCGGCGACGCTGGCACCTCCGCGACTAGACCTCGAATCAGTGTTGTCTTTTCTTTCCCGCCTGGAAGTGATGTCAGACACACATCTAAGACAAACAAAGACAGGTCGGGTTTTTGGAAGCGCTTGGACCCAACTCATCGCGACCCCGGCGGCTGAGCCGAGCGTCTGTCTCATACTCCAGATCTTTGGTGAACGGGACACAG